CTGCCGGGTCATTTTAAGCTGCATGTGGGGTTTTCAGCTGGAAGGTGCCGAAGCAACTCAACACACACTGACAGGCAGCAGCTTGGAGCAACCCTGCACAGAGCAGCCAGGAACCCTGCATACTGAGGGGAGCTTGCATGCCCTCTGCCGACTGGCCCCATGCATTTTCTGGTTTCAGGTAAGTCATATGCTATCATAAGATGAGGCTTAATTTTCCCGATGTTGAATGGGGAAAAGGCCTTGTCTTATAATCGAGTAAATGTGGTATGAGTGGTATGTTTTCTGAGCTTTTTGAACAGAAAATAAATAGGCATCTTCACGTGATATAGTTCATTGGAAAACATGAGGATTTTTTTTAAAAATGACCATGTTTATTTTTGTGTTCTAAACTGTTCGTAGTAAATTTGCATAGTAAATCTATTTGACTTGGAAAGATTTTTACAGAAAATACCTTGACAGTTTATTTGTGTTATTTTTAGCTCTTCTGTCATCTTCAGTCAGGCTTCACTTCTCAGGCTGAGCAATGAAAAAAGTCTGCAATTATTTTTAAGTTTTCATAAACTTGAAGTCTAGTCTCATCTTTTATCGGACAAACTAATAACATATATTTGTTTTGGAACAATAGATTAATTTTCTCTCCATCTCAGCTGAATGGAGAATTTTCCATTCTGAATGCCATTAATAAGCAGTTCTGCGAATTTATTCTCATGTGTTTTTTCCTGTGTGTTCCCTTTTTCTGTAGAATACATCATGTTTCTTACAGTTCAGTTCAGCTCCTGCTGATGTCAGTAAGAAACTTTCCATTGACTTCAGTGGGAAGTGGATTAGGCCTTAAGGCTCAACCCTCTATTAATGTCAGGAGGAAAAGTCCTGTTTGGATTCTCACTGATTTGCCCTTCAGGTTTCAGTCCAGATGCCTGGCAAAGTAAATTCCTGGAGGGAATCCAAAATTTGAAAGGAAAAGTAATAAAATCTAAGTATTATAAACTCATAAGACTAGAGTAGACATTGATGTCGCCTTGTTTGCTAGGAGAGATAAAAGGATATAATTTTAAGATAGAGGCAAACTTTGTGCAGGCACATATTTTATTTATTTATTAGATTTCTGTGCAGTCTTTCCCAACAAAAGCTGGACGACACAGAGACAAAATGATTAATAAAAGCAAGGTGAATATTAAAATAAAATATAAAAGAAAATCTCCCTAAAAATATTCTAGCTTGACCTTGCTCACTAAACACCTTCACAAATAGGAAGGTGCTACAGTGCTTCCAGAAAATGTCCTGACTCAGTCCCTTCTTCAGTGCAAAGATGTGGTAACTTCCCAACCTCTTTTGATGTGTACAGTTTGGTAAATACATGAAAGAAGTACAAATTTCCAACATTCCAGAAGTCATCTGATATTTGGTACCCTGTGACCAGTGGAGTCCCTTAAGGCTATGTCCTTGGACCTATATTGTTCAACATCTTTATTAATGATGTGGACACTGGTGTCAGAAGCGGACTGGCCAAGTTCGCTGATGGTACCAAACTTTGGGGTAAAGCATCCACACCTGAGGACATCCACACCTGAGGAGGTCGATCCAGGCTGACCTCGATAGGCTCAGGAAATAGGGCGGACGAGAACCTGATGGTGTTTAACACCGAAAAATGCAAGGTTCTCCAACTTGGGAAGAAAAACCTGCAGCATCCTTATAGGCTTGGCAGTGCTCCGCTGGTTAGCAGTACAGATGAAAGGGACTTGGGGGTCATGATTGACCACAAGATGAACATGAGCCTTCAATGCGATGCTGCAGCTAGTAAAGTGAGCAAAACGCTGGCTTGCATCCATAGATGCTTCTCCAGCAAATCCCAGGACGTCATTCTCCCACTGTACTTGGCCTTGGTGAGGCCGCAGCTGGAGTATTGCATCCAGTTTTGGGCTCCACAATTCAAAAAGGATGTGGAGAATCTTGAGAGAGTCCAGAGAAGAGCCACATGCATGATCAGAGGTCAGAAAAACAGACCTTACGATGACAGGCTGAGAGCTATGGGACTCTTCAGCCTGGAAAAGCACAGGCTCAGGGGCGATCTGATGGCTACTTATAAGTTTATCAGGGGTGCTTACCAGGATCTGTGGGAACGTTTGTTTACCAGAGCACCCCAAACGAAGACAAGGTCAAACAGTTAGAAACTCCTGCAAGACCGTTTCAGGCTGGACATAAGGAAGAATTTCTTTACTGTCCAAACCCCAAAGGTCTGGAATAGCCTGCCATTGGAGGTGGTTCAAGCACCTACTTTGAATGCCTTCAAGAGGAATTTGGATGTTTATCTTGCTGGGATCCTATGACCCCAGCTGACTTCCTGCCCCTGGGGCAGGAGGCTGGACTCGATGATCTTCTGAGGTCCCTTCTGAGGTCCCTCCTGAGCCCTAATGTCTATGAAATACATTAAATCTTTTGTATGTGTGTGCATCTTGGAGATAACCAAGCCTTCAGTAAATGGTATCATGTCATAGGAACATTCCTTAGCATTGTTATAATATCTGTTTTTCCATTCTGAATGCATTCTGAATGTGTTAGAGGTTCTGGATTCTAGGACATAAAAAAAACACATGTAGGCTAAAAATCTCATTATGGGGCTCATCTACACTTAAATGTTATCTTGATTTAATCTTTTTTTCCCCCAAAAGTGCTTGAGTTATCTTTTGTTCTGAGTGAATAATGAATAATAAATGGGCAAGGGGTAGACTTTAAAATGTTTTAATATTGTCTCTTGGGAGATTGTTGGGTATATGTTGAACACAGTGAAAATTACTTTGAACGAAAGGTGCCCCAGGGTGAGCTTGAAAAGCTGTGCACATATTTGTCGGTCTGTTACCTACTGGAACTGTAGTAATACTGTAACATTTGTACAATCAATACTAATCAAATCCAATGTACTATATTTACTCCAATACAAGATGAGGTTTTCCCCCCTCAACTGGCATGAGGAAAAAAGCCCCTCATTTTATAATCATATACAAAGAAGTCTCACTAAAAACTTTATCATTAAACTGCTGCAAAAAGCAGCATGTGCTTAGCAATAGAAACCAAGTATGAAGTTGATTCTAACTTTTCTTTATTTTATTGATATATATATAAATAAAATGTATGTATATATATAAATAAAATGTATATATGTGTGTGTGTGTGTGTGTGTATACATATATATGTGTATATATATATAAATAAAATGTGTGTGTGCGTGTGTATGTGTGTGTGTGTATATATATATATATAAAATGTATGTATATAAATAATTTGTATCTGAGGCCATATTAGTCAAAACTAATTCCAAATCCAAGAGTCCAGAACCATAAGTGGCCCTATTACCAGCAAACATCCTCCACCTGCACCTGGGGCTTCAGATGTTTCCAAAACCTTTGGCGGGCATCCTACTTGCAGGCCCAAGCCCGGAGGCTTGGGGTTCGGATGCCCCCAAGTTTTGCTTGCCCTTAGCCATAAGGCCCTCAGAGGAAGCAAGGGAGGAGACTCCCATTTGAAATTGATTCTACCTTTTTTTTTAAAATTAAAATATACTTCTATATATAGAGAGAGATTTATATATACATCCTCTATCATAAGCTTTCCTTCACACATCTTAAAACTGCATTAAGAAACCCGCGCATCCCGTTACAATAAGTGTATCCAATCCCCTGTGCCCCTGCGCACCCTCCCTCCACCCTCACCTACCCAAATCACAGTCCTTTAGTCCAAACTCCGATTTGAAATTTACATTCTCAGTTCATTTACTGTCCTTGTCGCTGTCACTTCCACTGCTGCTGATCCTGTTGTAGTCCTTCTCGCTGTCTCCAGGTCCAGCTGCATCACTATCCTCTTTGTTGTCTTTGTCGACTTCCCCTCCCAGCCAGTCTTTGAACAACCTGTGCCAGGTGTCACTTTTCCAGATGAAGTTGGCTACATCTTCTTCATCCTCATGAATAGATTAGTGTAACCCCTCTGAATAAGACATGTGGTAATACCCATCAAGTGCAGTCCCCCTTGCCACTGACCCTGCTACATTGCATACACTTTGACTTCCTCTTCACTCCCACAGCTGAGCTGTGCCTTTCTTTCCCATTTCCAATGATTCCTGTTTCTGCACTAACCTTAAATGCCTGCCAGATGTCATAAAACAGGGCCCCAGACTGTTCATCCAGAATCACTGCCTGCCCTGCACCCCAGGCTGTTGCATATGATTAGTGTAGCCCTGCCCTCCATGAGGTGAAGCTGGACCAGGTTGTCATATGCCTGGAATGCAATTGACTCCGGTGAGGCTCAGCCCAATGAACAATGTGGTAAACCACAACCCTTTGGCCTTTGATTAATGTCATGCATAGTTTTTACTACATATAAAAATGATGCTTAAAAGTGTGTTTATGGAGTACCTGTGCTAAAACTTGCAGCAGTTTCAAAAAAAAAAGAGCTAACATGAATCAATTATGGATAAGCTAAATGTATGAGTACTATATGTAAATTGCTATATCCATGGTTAATATCAAGGTAATTCTTTTCAAATTTGCTGCTTCTTTCCATGTATTCAGGGAAGGCAAGGTCTGACAGAAGAGGGGGAAGGGACTGCTATGGGAAAAAGTTGGAGGGAAGCAGAAAGCAAAGGAGCTACCTGACCCCCAAGATTTATTTTCCCTTGTGTAGCAGTGGGAAGAGGACTAATTCAAGGCAAACCTCCAATAATTAGATTCCATACCTGCAGAATTATAGCAAATGTATACCTTTCTATGTATAGAATCCAGTTATTTTGGGGTCATCTTACAATTGGGGCTGTCTTCTATTTCAAGTTAATACGGTAATCCCAATGATACACAAGTCCCTCAAGTAGAAATTTGTTCTTTTACTTTCTTTGGAGCTGTAAACAGCTGAGCATCACAACTGCATAACTCAAAAATAACTCCTAACATTAAATGTATCAAGTGGTTAGTATATAACACAACGTAATTGCCTTTGTTTTATAAAATGTATAGATATCCGCATGGAACAATGTTACTTGAAGTGGGATGAAGATGAGTGTGTTCAGTCTGTACCTGGCAAATTTCGTATGGATGCCTGCTGCTGTGCTGTTGGTGCTGCTTGGGGCTCAGACTGTGAGGAATGCCCTAAGCCTGGCACCAAAGAATATGAGGCCTTGTGCCCCAGAGGACCTGGATTTTCTAACAGAGGTGACATTCTAACTGGCAGGCCATTTTATAAAGGTAAAGTTTGATTCCTCTCTTACTGGAACTGAAAAGTGCATTTTCTGTGTATCTATGTAGACTCTGATATGCTCTTTAAAGGAAAGCACCAGTGTTTTTATATGTGAAATGTTTAGAATTAGAGATACCAAGTGTGTAGCATTAATGATCAAACAATACATTTTACTGAAGTTCTTCTTTGTAATTCCCATCTATGACCTTTTGTGATCTTTTTGCATGAAGACAGCAATTTTCTGTGATAGAAAGAACTGGAATCTCTGTCTTCTGTGCTTTACCATGACCTGAGCTCTTTCTTTCCCATCTTGTCACTGTGATCCAGGTGCTTTTCCTCTGCCTGAATCTTGCTTGGACATGGACAATCTAATGTCTCTCATAACTGTGGATTTCTACATTAGTCAACCTGCCCTCTCTTTGCTTGTATTAGTTCATGTATTCATTCCAACAGCATGTATGTTATAGACAGGTAGTAAATACCTGCTGCCTTAAAGAGATGACAATTTAGGTTAGACATAGCAACTTGAAAGCTTAATAAAGAGTGGTGATCAAGGAGGAGAGACAGTTAGTAGCCTGATTTTTTCAGGGCCTTCAAGTAAAGGGCAAGAAGCTTGAATTTGATAAGATTTGAAAGGAAGCTAGCAAAGAGCTCTTAGGGGTTGACATGTTGAGAAAGACATGAAAGGTAAATTTGAGGGGGGAATATTTTGGACAGAGCAAAGTGAGAGTAAGATGAGAATGTAGGAAGCTAGAGATGTTAAGATATACAGTGCAAGAGATTACTACAAAGTTTGTTGAAATTGTGACTGATAAGGGATGTGTGTGTTTTGGAGATGTTTTAGAGGTTAAAACTCACATAATTTAGCAGCAGCATTAGTTTTGGACAAGAAAGGAAAGTGTGTCTAAAAAGGTTCTGGAGTTATATTTGTGACCGGAAGGACAGTGGAATTAATGGTGAAAGAAGAAAGCCCCCTTTGTTTAAATGACTCCGGTTTTCTCCAGAAGCTGAGGATTGAAAATTGCTTGAAGGATTAAAGATGAGGACCCAAATAGAGCTTCCCTTTTGGTGGGCATTTTGAGCCATTTATGTAGACATTTAGATCCTTCTCCTAACTGAAACTCACTAGATCCTTCTGAGTGTGTTATGAGCATCTACCACAAAGCAAAGTTGTGGCCTGGAAATGATGGTTTATGCAGTGGAAGTACCTGCTGTGGCCACTTGCACTCTCTTTGATCTTGTTCTGCCCCACTAAGTTCATAAACTCCATGGAAATTCCAGAAATGTTAGTCACAGAAAAGCCATGACCAACTATAGGAAGAAAGAAGAGGGGGAGGAGGGGGAGGAAGGGCCTCACACCTTTTCACGTAATGATTAGAGAGTGAGGGACCCAGGTTTAAGTGCACCCCCTCCACCAAGAGGGCTTTTGAATCTACATGTACTTCCCAGGCAATGAGTATTCACCAACCCCTTGTTAAAGCTGGCTCAGTGGAGCAGCAACTGTCCCATTGCTCTCTATCCATTTTATCTAATGACTTTTAAATGCAAAATGCAGAAACAGCATTGGAGAGAGAGGCCAGAATTCAGAGCCCCTACCCTCTCAGGGCAGTGCCCATTTTACCAAAGCATATTCCCTCTGACTTGTCCTGCTTCTGGTCCCATGTATGTTATCTTATTGTCTACCCAATGGGACCACTTCAACAAGAAGGATGGAGGAGGGGGCATTAGGCAAAATATTGTTATGTGCTTGGAGGGGGTATGTGTAGCTAGAAGACAAGAGACGATGTAGTCAGTAGGGCTGTGTGGAACTTCAGCAGCCATTTTGTTTTGGAGGTGTTTTGGCCAGTTTCGGCACCCAAAACAATGAATCTTAAACAAAACAGAAGGCTCCGAAACATCTCTGAAACTAAGCAAAACCATCCAAAACATTTCAGAAATGATTCAGATGTTTCGGAATATTTTGGAGGTGGGCTTGTGGGGAAACAGAAACTCGGAAGAGGGAAAGGGAAGTGTGGGGAAGGACTGCTCTGATATTGACATCTGTAGGCCAGTGTCTGCAATCTGTCCCTGAGGTCCCTTCCAATCCCAGTGCTCTAGGGGAGGGATGGCAGCCTGCTGTCATCTCGCACATAGATTTGGGGGCCCACAACCCCCAGGAGGAGTCTGGCATAGCCCCGCAGTCCTCCTGGGGGGG